ATAAAGAGACTTTAACTCTTATATCAACCGGTTAACTAACGTTAAACTATACAAAAAAGGAATCTACCGTGCTGTTAAAGAATGTTAAAAGCAGTTCTTTTAGATTTAATTATTCACTGTAGCTGTACACCATAGGTACAACCATAAAACTTCAATAAACGATATCGTGGAAAATTGTTTTTACATGATTATCTTTAGGCTAAATTGTTTGAATAGATCTTTTGTAGGGATCTATTTGACTGAAGAATCATGTACATTGAAGATTGTTGTGAAATACGTGATTAGTGAAAACCAAGGTGTATTTGTTAACAGCTTCATTCTAGCATTTGAATTCACATTGGCAACATAGTAATCAACTTAGTACTTTCAGGTTCCGTGTTGAATACAGTTCAATTAATGAGTCAATAACTGCTAGTTTAAATCCATCTTTGATCGATAAGGATCGTCTTTCAAATATTATTTTACATCGCCGATTATTGTTCAATTTATATACGAATGTATGTTGATATTCTAATCAAACAACTAATTAACAATGTATGATTATCAAGGTCAACAATAACTTTCTGAAATTTCTGAGAAATTCACAAAATTAATAATTTCATTAAGTTCACTCTTTTTCAATTTAAACGTTATAACCAGCACTATTTGGTTTACTCGATTCATGCCACTCTTCATATGTATAATATCTGGGAAGACATTTTATCCCTGTTAAAGTAGCTGATGTATAGATCTGAGTGAAAACGGTGAATGACATTAACACAGCTCAAAAATAAATATTCAGATTGGAATTATATTATTCTAAGCGTTTTTGAGAGAAAAGAAAAGCAAATGGAACATCTGTAATAGAGTCTACAAACAAGTATAAGGCTACAGTTTCCTGAAAGAGGTGTATATATATCAATGAATTCTAAAAAGTAACTGAGACATCACATAGGAAATAACCTAATGATGAAGACTGAAGCCTTACAGTTGCATATTTTTTGCAATAATTAATGATCAAGCTATATGAGATGAATATAATATGATCCGTACTGAACGTATCAATTGAAATATACTAGAATCTTATGTAATAGTTGTAAACAGATATAATTTGGGACTATCTTTAATAAAAATTTACTAAATACAAATAAAACAATAAAATTTATCAACGCGTTTGTAAGATAAAATTAGTCTCAACTTATAAATTACTTGACAAACAAACATTTTGTTTGAATTCCTTAAAATAGTGTAAATCCTTGACTGAAGTTTCACAGTTATTTCATGATTCAGTCCTTCTAATAATCCTGCACTTCATTTGTTCAAATAATTGTACGAAACACAAGTGTGTCTTGACTTTAGCAAAACATCATATAAAAAGGGAGTAAACATAAAACAAGCAGACGATATTTTATCATTATTAGGCTAGTGTTGTAAGTTTATCTCTTCTGTTAACTTGTTATATCATCTAGAACTATTGCGGTGACATTTTATTTAATACATACATAACAACTTCCTGTTTAGCAGAAAGACTTTTTACATACTTCATTTAAACCTGGATGAACTAAACTTTACTTCATTAAAATGACCATACATTTTTCTCAGAAAGGGTTTAAATAAACCAGACTAATAGACTACTCAATAAAAAGTAAGATGATATTATTTAATAAGCATAAAGATAAGACTTAAGGTTTTCGTGTACAACTTTGAATACTTATCTTTATGAAAATTGTGGAAAGTGTAAACGGTCTTTATCACAAACTGATATCATTTGGAGAAATAACTAAAATCAAGAATCACTATAGTTATTTCATTATGTTTTGTAACTTCACAACAGTGAATATCTGAGACGTCACCGGTGGAAAAACATAAAACATCCAGCTATGTTGGCAAACAAGATGCCTTCAGACCACTAAGCCAAAGTCTTTACTTTCCTCAGTTGACAATTAAGTCTTCTTGGTTTAAGATATTTTTGTCATTAGTGAGACAATATAATTGTTCACTAAAGGAACTCTTAAAATCGACTACTTTAGGCGAGAAAATCGATGTTTCTGTTTCATATTAATGTTGAAACTTTAATGTACATATTGTAGAAATATACTGTTAAAACATGTAGAAAGTCAATTGATATCCAAAGCAACAAATATATCGGATCTTTATAGATCTTTGAATATGCCTCTAAGCTGTCCAGTGACACTGTATATGGATTACAAACATGTTTACTCTATTCTGTACGTAGTCTAATGTGTAACAGTCGTACGCTCAATAAAAACTGCCTTCAAGATAAATTTTTGAAGTTCTGGTGTAGATTTGTGACTAGTGTGGATCATCTCAATCTGGTGACTCATTGAGACGCTGATGATAATGGTACATATTATTAACTGACTTACTCTTAAAGTATAAACCATCCGGTCTCAGATCAGGTGTTCAAAGGTAATTAGCTTGCAGCTAGTCTGAGGTTACTTCTGATACGATTGATCATTCAGACGGGCCAAATAAAAGTTGAGGGGTGATCATGGGTGGACACTGTTAGCCAAGACTTGGTGCGCGATCGGTCACATGTGTGACTTTACTTCTTGGGATGAGGAGTTCTATATTTACTAGTGTGTTGTACATATATTCTCCATTTGATCAGGAAATAGAAACAATCTACTCATTTTTCATTCCCTCAATTCGCTAGCTGGATGGACAGACATATAGGAAGTGTTTACGTTGGTACTTTACCCAGCCGACGATAGAACATAAGAACTTACGTCCCAAGTGAATTAGTGACAGGATACCTTTGATAAATACCACACTAAGATAAAACAGTTGTTTGGAGCTCCATGAATCTCAGTAGTTTTACAGCAAAAACTAAATATGAAATAAAGATGATTCTGCTTTCTAAATGATTGTCCATTGAAATGAGATCTTTTAAAGACATGCATTGAGAACCAGGTTTCTATTTAGAATTATCATTCAATCACACAGTGATTCAGATAACTGATAGTTTGACCACAAATACAGTATAGTTTATGAAGAGAACACAAATGCTTCCATTGGGTATACATTAATTAGTCACAGTAAATTTAACTGTAAAAGGTTTAAGTGGTTTCCAAGCATGAAGTAGCCTTTTAAAACGCGATTGTCAATAATGACACAAAAGTAGATTTTTTGACATAGATAACTTCAAGGTCTCTTGTGTAAAAAAATTTAACATTTCAGTGCCTGATAAATGCTTTTTCGGATAGTGTGTTCCTGATTGTGAACTTCTATTGATAAACATATGATATTTAAAAAAAACAATTTCAGTACCCGAATCTCAGCAGAAATTAAACTAGTAAAAACTAGTTCGGCACCAAGAGAACTTATGGACAGAACTATTGACTAGAATTCGATTGCACTTCAACCACTAAGCATACTCTATGGCTGTCATGAAAAATGAAGCAGAACTATAAATCTCACCTTAAAATGCTAGTTTCATTCGTGGGGTATTCTCGTTCTATTTCAACTTCATTTAAATAACTTTGCTTTAATGATTATTACTTGAATTATCTGAAGGAGCTTAGGTCGAAACTCTCAGTAGTAATAAATTTTTATCAACCTGGAAGCACTGGACGGCGGTCTCGTTCTACTATCAGGCTCCTCACTAGTTCATGAATTGATTTGTCATCTTTATGAAGTATACAGTCCCTAGCTTCATTATTGTTCACTCTAAAGACAACTATGATTGAATGCTAGTAACCTACGAGTATTCTTGATTTTAGTGGTCATGTTTAGCAGCCGTCGAGTAAATCAGAGGAGATTGTTGTGCATCTAACTTCTCCTTTGGTTGGCAGACAGATGTCTTGCTTATGCTACAAGTGATGCAAGTCAGAAACTTCCGTTGACATAAATGTGAAGGCATATATATTTTCAAAAAAATTAAATTAAATTTTGACCACATTTGGTCAAATTTACTTTACTCTCTTACTTGCTAATGAAGGTTTTACTTATCTCTTAAAATTTAGGGAATTCAGTGAGAACATGGCCTGAGTACTATGAAACAACTCAGTTCTAGTTTCTAACGGGTAGATCCGTTCACCACTAACCAAATAAAAATGCAATAATTTTCTAGTTTATTACAACACAACTTAATTTCTGTTTACTACAGTAACAGTTTGAATTCTGTTCAAAAATATAACAGTTTTTTTAACAAAATGTCATTTTCTGTTCTGTTTCATACTAACCCAATAAACTATAATCCCCGAACTTAAATATATATTTATCTCCATACGTCAACCAACACATATTAACCTGCAGACTAAGTTCAGGCTGACTAGCTGATGGTAGCTAGATAACAAGTATAATAAGTCGATTTGTGAACATACTATCGAGATATCAAGTATTAATATATAGTTAAGAGCAAAAATAAGCAGTTATTCTGTTACGTATACAATACAAACAAAACAAAATAATTAAGAAACCTGATCAGGTCTCGAGACCTAAACTGTACAAATAAAACCAGCTGCATAGTCCTAAATTTATGATTGTTTTGTTGAAAAGAGATAAGAGATATAACGAGAGACTACCAGATGGGTCTTATTAAAATATCATTTAATAACTACTGACAGGCCATACTTTCTGAAATCTGGTCGCGACTTGGCTGACTTCAATGAGCGTAGTGAGACGCCACTAAATTCTCACGTTGAAAGTGTGTTTCTCATTGCAAAGAATAGAATTATTTATATAAACACTTTATTGTCAAGCATTTTTACAAAATTAGTCATTAACACGTGAGCCGTACGGCTCAATCCGAAACAGTAGTCGATTTTCCTCTGATGTAAGGTATTATAAATTTCCGCTAAAAATCATGTAAAACTTCAAGCCTTTCAAGAATGTTGATGAATACATTTTTACAGAAAGATGAGTTAAGTTATCAAAGGTATTGTAGCTAAGCAGTTGTAAATAAGATGATATCTATCCATGTTAAAACACCCGTTATTCTTAAAAAACTCGAAGACAAAGATTAACGCTTATGAACTCCACAACATGAAAACGCTTACTTTGAATTTTCCATGAACATTCTGAGTGGTATTTGTATGTACAATATTTTTGCTTGGGACTACTTTACTCGGAAGACAATTGCCATAATTCGGCTCTCCTTTTTGAGGCACCTCGTCGTAGATCTGAATGAGGCCAGTTCCAGAATTTATATTTCGTGACTTATGAAGAGGAACATGGTTAACCCATTGCTTTGTTAAACCAATGTATTCACCTGTACCCGGACTATAATTAACACGTGAAGAGTGACGAATATCAGTAGCTGAAGCAATATTAGATCCAGACAGCTTCATTTGAATAACTTTGCGGCTAATTCCGTAACTATTCTTGAAATTGATACATCCCAATATATCAGTTTTTGTAAAGTGCGCTATGTTTGTTATTTACAGTTGTGGCTTCAACAAACAACTTCAACACTCAAACCTTAAAGTCATTTAGGTGGCATGAATTATTGTTCTTTCTTTCCTGTTTTGAAATGAAACAAAGAATTCTTATGTAGATTGATGCAGTTCTTGTTTGGCTCCCTCCGAATGTGAAAATACTCATGCTGTTATTAAAAACAAATGGAAGTTTTACCGAACCCCTCAAGAATCGAGTGCACTACATTTTGAAGAAAGCTCACACAATTCATTTACACTATTTTGAGCTCAACTGGATAACATTTTGATTTGTTTAGGTGAGAAAAAGTCGAAGTTTGTTCAGTTACGTCCGTTGCATTAATTTAGTAATAGGCTCCCGATATAACAAATCGGAGTGATGAGCTATCTTTGATTGGGGCTAATTTGTGTTTTGAACTTCACTGTTACTCACACCTTGCCTGTAGGTCAACACTTCTCGGTGTTCTTAAGGGACACAAAGTAATCAGCAATACAGTTGCATGTTTTCGATTGCAGGTAATGTAGATATTTTGCGCAGGGGGATGTCCTTCTTTCCATCAATAGAGGAAACCAGATTAATAGTGAACAGGTCTTTATTTAGGTCACGGAAAAGAACAGATAGAACGCGAGGTTACCTTTCTCAAACACACAACGTTTTTCAACAATCAATATAAAATAATGAAAAAATTAATGCCTATATGAAATAAGGGAGTGAATAAATGCTATAGGCACAATTTTCAACATCACGAAAATGCTTACGTCTAACTTTTAACCAATCGACCTAAGTTGTAGCATTAGCTTCCTCCTAAAACCGACTTCCATAAAAATGTCTTCCCGACCAACTTGCCCAGAAAGAACATGTCAGTTCAGTTTCTTCAGCTTAAAAGGGAATTACTTATTCGTTCAATGTCTGACTTTCAGTCAATGACGGCCAAGGCCCAATCAGTATTTAGAAATACTACATGGATGTCATATATTATAATTTGTTAGCTTATCTCGTAACACTTAATTTACTCAAGTTATTGTTCGTGACTTGGTGAACGTGCTCTCTGTATGAGGATCAAACCTTGTAAGAGAATGGAGGGTAGAAAAATGAAACAAAAATATCCGAGGAAGTGCCGTGAGTGGGCTACCCAACATCATGTTGGTGACTGCAGTTACCTATATATTGCCTACATATTACTTATATTCTGTCCACAAACCAACATTTTTTACAGTCCGCTCTTCAATCTCTTTAAGTGCGAGATTTCCGCCGCACTTTTGAACGGCGAATTTCCTCCTTCAGTCCTCTAGTAGAGACTCATAAAGAAAATGCCTACTGTTAAATTCACACCAACAATTAGTTTTCTTAGCAACTCTAATATCCTCCTCATTTAAGGCTTTAAATTCTAGTATAATGTCGTTGAATTTCTCTCTATATATGCCATATCATCCTTTCTATATCCATCTTAGACCTCATTACGGCAGCAGTAACTTGGGTCATTGATGCAATGAACCCCTAACAAGCCAAACAAATGGTGTTTTGCTGCATACTCGTTTTTGAGTGACAGAATACTTAAGGCCTGATCTGTTACATTTCATACGGGACACTTAATTGAGAATCGATTCACGTCAGTTTCAAATAAATCTAAGATATTCTAAAACCACTTTTCATTACTTGTTCTTTCTATAACAAAATTATTATTTGTCCATCTGCGTTTCATTCTCATAGGAAGACGCTTGCTTGTTAATTCCACTATAAAAATTGGATACAGTTCCCAACTCGTAATCACCTACAACTATCCAAGAAGTCAGTGACATCGTTTGCCTTATCGTCAATCTGCCAGTCTTCGCCCACAACAACTTCAAATTCTCAATCTTCCGAATAATTGTTATGGAAGACTTAATGCTTTACTACACGATTACAAAGCTTATAAGAGTTCACAGAATTTAATATCTAATTTGGCCGTTCCAGTACACTTCCTGGCTAACTACACAAAGTTGGCTTTGAAAGTTAATCATTTACTGCTAGCACTACTATGTCATTACTCACAAGACACAGGCAGTACAAATCAGAAGTGTAAAAAACAGACAAAATAACGGTGTTCAATAGCTTGTCAAGAAGTCTTAGCGGTTAAAGTTGTACTAAATTCGAGATCAGAACAGAGGGTAGATCCAACCACTACAAAATACAGAAGAAAAAGCCTGTCGGCAACGAACAGTTACATACCAGACAGACTCGGGAACCAGTTAACACATTTACGACTGAAATACTCACGTTTAGGTTAAGAATGTAATACTGTACAGTTATTTATCATCGACTACCAGACCATAATGACTTGGGAATTCGTTTTTCATTCTATGCTTATAACCATGTCACTCAATGGTGCAATGAAGATTGTTTGGCAGCAGTGTTCATAACAACTGTTTAACTAATAATATAATAGGGCGTCGTCTGCACTTTCGTTATATATTCTTATAGTCTACGGACTTCAGTTACAAGCTGTAAACCGAAACATAATACTGACCCTAATATGGAGATTCTGGGGCCAAAAAGTTTAATGGTGACACGATCGAACAAGATCGATGAGGTCAACGCTTCAGCCAACCCAACACTACCAGACATCGAGATGTTCAGCAAAACAATGATAAACAGTAAGCGAAACTTGGACTATGACAAAGAATTTATTTCGTTCTGGAAGTTGTAAACGGCATAATAGTAGCAACTGCAGACAAATGACAAGATAAACAAACTATACGTTAATACAAGCAGCAGTGGATGCAACGTTACACGCAAGAAATTAAACCATAGATGTTCTACCAAACACACAGACACATGAATACCATAATGATCTCATACTTTAGGTGGCCAAGGACCATCTAAACCATAATATATGAATTCAGCAAATTGTAAACACATTGTTTTAACAAGAAATCATTCGTTTCGAGGTTTTCGATGATTCTCTTTGGTTGAAGAGTGCTTAGCAATTTATGTTACATCATTAATGTGTCCGCTCGACCCTTGCTTTATCAAACGTTGTAGCAGCAACGAAATTATTATCAGTTTTCAAAGTCTTCACGAAGTGTTCTGTCTAACCATTTGTGCAAAAGGGCGTTTGAAGGTGGTGGTTTAATGTTCGCACCCGATACCATTAAACCAGGTGATAACTCTCTATGCACCGAAATGATGACCATTGAAATTTACATATCCCACGGGGACAATTTACAGACAGAAAAGGTTTATCAAAGCTTGGATTATAAAACAAGAATTTTGGTGAAGTCGTGAAGAATAATTCAAGCCACTTAAAAGAATCACTGGCTTTAAGTGCATAGTATTTTTTGAGAATTGGATCACCATGGTCCGCATAGACTGTTTGCTGGGACTGAGGCAACACTAGGCATGGAATCCATTTTGAAGGATCACTTTATAATTTATACCATCTTCTACTTTTGTTTGATATGGGAAACATAATTGCATTCATATCTGACCATCAAAATGTGAGCCCGGTATGTTATTTTTTCACAACATCGGAATGTTTTCTGTGGAGATCATTAAACACACAATAAAACGATAATAACAACAGGATCTTTTAAACATGAATCATCACTGAGAGTTGTGAATAATTGATAACATTTGGCAGAGCAAATACGAAAGTCTATGTTTCAAGCGTTAATGAAGGGACTTAGTATATACCCAAATACTGACTCGTTTCTCTAACAGGTCAACATCTGAAGTACATAATTAACATAACAGTGGAAATTGGCGATAACACGGGTGTAACACTGAAGTGCCTCTACCAAATAGCATTTAGCTGCCCGTTGTCTCACTTTAATATAAGCGAATCTTTAGTGATCTGGGCGGATTATAGATCCCACGTACATCATAAATATTTCAAAAACTCCGTTTATAAAAACGCAGATATAGAAGTAGGATACGAGTGTTTCGAATTTCTATATTGTACGCATTGATTCCTGAAGACAGAAAAAGAGATGATAGTCAGAAAGGAAAGATGTGCCTACCCAAACTATTATTTATTACAAGTGTCCATATAACACACATAGTGAAGCAAAGAGACAGAGACTGGATAAATTATTATATTCACAGGCACAGATAAGCACACATGAGACATACGAGTGTAGAACTGCAAGAACATGGATAAAAGAGGTGTGCGTACTGAAGATAACAAGTTCCTGTGAAAAAATATAGCTACGAGGAAGCTGAAATGATTTTAAAGTCACACGCTGTTTGAGTTGTCAAGGTCTGTCCAAACGTTAGGATCAGTTACGTGCGTGTAACAACATAGATCCTGATACAATCGTGAATCTATAGGGTCGTTCGGAGTTGGTACATTTGTAAATGAAGTCAGTTGTGTGTAGAACAATTACCATTAACCAAGTATTTAATATATCTGATAGTAGATGCACGGAATAAACATTTATGTTAATTTAAAGCGATATTCATCTCAAGTAACTTATGTTGAATCCAAACTACGGTTCGGACTGAAGAATATCCGTTCAGGTAGACACGCGCCCTTTCCCGTCAAAATCAAAACAAGTAATCGGGTAAATAGCGGTTCTATAATTCATCATAAATTTAAATGTACATCGTTACCTAAACAAATAATACCACCCGGCTATTCAACCAATAATTGTTCAATCAATCAAATCTAAATTACAATAAATAAAGAAGTTGATAAAAGATGCGGGAAAAATTACCAGTCACAACAAATGGACGCTATTCTATCATGACTGGATAGAACATGCACAAAAGGAGGAGCAAATCAATATGGCTGCCGCCAAGAACAAGTATCAAGTAAAACAACATAGATTAAGTTCGGGAAGAAACACAAAAACTTAGTGAGGGCGTAAGAAAAATAAAAACTATAATAAAAACACAAATAATAGCAATTCAATGTAATGAAAAAACTAACAATGCACAACTAAGGGGATCAATAGGAACAAAGTGCAAGTGTATACATGGAGGGATTTTCACACACACCAAACATTCAAAACGGATCTTACA